TCTGAAAGTAAGATATTACATATTACTCGAATTAGTGTTCATTAATTATTTTTTAGTATTCTTTACTCTCGTCATTCTGAAAGTAAGATATTACATATTACTTGAAATAGTATTCATTAATTATTTTTTTTGGTATTCTTTATTCTCGTCACTCTAAAAGTAAGATATTACATATTACTTTAATTTTAAACAAAATTGAATTTTACGATTCTGTTCTTCCAGAAATTATTCAAGTCGTTTGAATTTATGAAGTGTTTTAAGCACATGTTCGTCATTATGAGCTTTTTAACATGCGGTTTCTTTATCTCTATTTATAAATACATTTGAAAGCTACAAAGAAACAAATGTTTTGTACGGTCAAATAGTTATTTAATTGGGTTATTTACACATACCTCTTCCAAGCGGATCTTAATATTTCTCTAACTGTATTTGTACAATTCTTCTATATCAGTTATTTGTTACTTTATCTAAAATGATTTTTTGTTTGAGCTTGTTTACTTTACGTTCTTTGTAATGCGTTTTCTTAAAATCATTATCATGCACCTTCACCCGAAACGAAATGTTTGTTTAATCTCTACAGTATTTAAGATTTTCCGTTTCCCATTAACTAATGAAACCATAGTAATTACTACTAATTTATCTAGTAAGTTTCTTCCTTATTTAAAACAAAGATATTACAGCTAAGTAACAACCCGCAGTCCATCTCGCTATGTACCAGCGAAATGTATCTTTTTCTCAATAATAACTAGAATTGAACTGCACCAAAACGAAATTTTATTCATCTAAAAACAGAGAGGGCGTGTGAGCTCGAGCAAATCAGGCAGCGTGTTTCTTCTGACTCTTGCTGAATTTAGTGGTTTGAAACTGAAATCCGTTACGTAGATGCTTCTCAGAGATTCGTAAGGACATAACTGTACTCGTTCGACTGTTTTTAATACCAGTGTTTCAAGATACAAATAAAAACGTGTATGGAAAATGTAGAAAAGAATCAATTTCACCATGAATAAATCAGCACCAATAGGGTGTGATAAGGTTCAATTGTTTCACTTGATTGTAGTGGTATTCCCAATGCAGCTAAACACATATACACGTGGCGACGTGTTTAGAATGAATACGAATTAAATTGTTTTAGTAGTATGATTTTTAATATAGAGTACCATTAGCTAAGTTGACTTTACTAATTAAGTCATAAAATAAAATAAACATTTACTTGAAAAATAGTAAAATTTTTAAAAGCAACGAAAATAGTGTTTAAAAACTGTTCAAAATCTAGTGATTTAAAGGTGTATATTTCTCGTAAGAATAGATACATTTTCAACCCCCCCCTTCCACTATTGCCTCAGAGGTTTATAAAGCTAAGGGTGGGGTTTCGAGACCCGAGGTGGCCACAACTCGTGTAGCCCATTGTGTAGCTTTGCGCTTAGCAGCAAACAAACAAATATAAATCTTCAAACATCATACAGCAAATGATACATATCACGCCATCTTCCAAAGAAACTTGAAACGATATTTAGCAGAGTAAATACGTCGCTAACGGTCTACTGACCAATGTATTGTTTAAAGTAAACTAATATGTATATTAGGACATTGCTATATATCTGCATTTGCCGATTTATTATAGCCATATTGACTGACCTGGTCAAGATTTAAAGATGAAAACTGCGGACGATAAGAATGTAATGACCTATATAAGTCGCCCCCCAATGGCACAGTGCGGACTTACAACGCTAGAATCCGGGTTTCGATCCCCGTGGTGGGCAGAGCACAGATAACCCATTGTGTAGCTTTGTGCTTAATTGCAAACAACCAAGCAAACAAACCTATATAAGTCAAGCTTGTACGTGTGCCACACTATATTGAGTTGTTTTTTTTAAAAAGAAACTCAAATTGAAGTATCCTCTTCTCTGAAACTTGAAAGCCAATTACCTTATCGATTTACTGCTAAAGTTGTCAAAAAATACATTATATTTGAGAAAAATAAAATTATCATCTTAATTTATATTTTATTTCTAATTACATATTTATTTATTTATTAGTGTGGCCCCAGTGACACAGCGGCATGTCTGCGGACTTACAACGCTAGAAACCGGGTTTCGATACTCGTGGTGGGCAGAGCACAGATAGCCCATTGTGTAGCTTTGTGCGTAAATTCAAACAAACATTTTATTAGTGTACCCAACCCTCAAATTACTGAACTGTTTACATACCTTTTAGCACCGTAGAGGAGGAAGTATCCATATTATATCATATTGAACAGTCACCAGATGGCTTAGCGGTAAGTCAGAGAGTTGTTTGTTTTTGTGTTTGAATTTCGTGCAAAGCTACACGAGCGCTATCTGCGCTAGCCGTCCCTAATTTAGCAGTGTAAGACTAGAGGGAAGACAGCTAGTCATCACCACCCACCGCCAACTCTTGGGCTACTCTTTTACCAACGAATAGTGGGATTGACCGTCGCATTATAACGCCCCCACGGCATGTTTGGTGGGACGGGGATTCGAACCTGCGACTCGCAGATTGCGAGTCGAGCGTCCTAACCACCTGGCCATGCCGGGCCAAAGTCAGAGAGTTTATAACGCTAGAAATCGGGTTTCGATACCCGTGGTAGACAGAGCACAAATAGCCAAATGTATAGATCGCTGATTAACAACAAACAAACAAAAAAAATGTATTGAATAATTGTGATTTTTCCTGTCACACCACAAATAGTGTAAAAAAAAAATTGGAAAATTACTCGTTTTCTATGTGAAATATGTAGGAAATCCTAGCTGGAATTATTGCGGTTACTTGCAATACTGACGATTTTATTTCATTCATCTTTTCCGTGTGTGGCTCATATGAATTCATGGACCCACAATTTGGTGCATAAGTAGTTTAGAAAAATATGTATTTAAAAATCCGATTTGGTCCGGACTCCCATTTGTTATTCTACGGTTGAACAAATACATGACTAGTTTTATAATCTACACGTTAAATTTTGTTCTTTTGATATTTCCAACAATTGCTGTCTTTGCATGAAGATCAAAGAACCAGTTTATACTAAAATTGATCATTTCCAGAATTTTGCGAAATAAATATTTTAAGCTGTATTCTAAGCTTCTTGAGTTTTTTTCGATTAAAATCGTCTTAATGTACTTTTATCATATCTGTGTCGTTTCGTTCTAGTATAATTTCTTTGAAATATTCCTACTAAGAAATTAAATTCTTGTTCTTCAAAGTAGTTTGTTTATCTTTAATGTAGACTTATATATATATATATATATGTATGGGCTATGGCCAGGTGGTTAGGGCGCTTTCAGCTGTGGGGGCGTTATTACGTGACAGTCAATCCCGCTATTCGTTGGTAAAATAGTAGCTCAAGAGTTGGCAGTGGGTGTTGATGACTAGCT